ACCCACGGGAAGTCTGCCTGCAGCATCTGCAAACTGATGCGTTTCAGCTCATCTTCTGACACACCAGGCCCAAAGTCGTCGTGCGCATTTTGGAGCAACTGCGCCAAAGAACCACCCGAGCACATCTCCTGAGTTCCAGCGGCGAATGTCAACTTAACATGGGAATGTTCAAGCTACGAAAACAGAGTGGCGTTCACTCAGTTACAACCAAAATTAGGGGTCAGCTGTGGTTGTTACCCACGGTCATCCGGATATATATGTCCTACCAACATCACAGGGTCTGCAAAACCCTCACAATTGGATATTCGGTGCATTCTGCATGCGCCTCACTATTAACTTACATGTTTCCTCCTGGTTTTTTGCCGTCTAAGTTCCATCTTCATGCGTTTGCAGATCTTGTGTTAGCATGACATGCTGATGCGGATGCTGATGCGGATCATTCCAAAAGCAAATTTCTGGCTCGACATGCTTGTGCAATTCCAAAGAATGAAGACTGCGGGAGCTTCAGGGGAACATGAACAGCATTTGAATTGGTTTCCTGATGGTCAATGGTGATTTGCTAGCTGTTGCGTTTCAAAGAGTGAAATATTGCTAGACAATTGTTGTTTTGCAGAGGTTTTACTGCTTCACATTGCTTCACATTGTTTTCATGATGTTCCATTGATGTTCCATGCCCTTTTTCATGGCTCAACTTCCATCTGTACCCTGATGCTTGGGTCACAAAAAGCGGAAACAAAGACGGTCCACCATGGTCCACCATTGGGAGTTTCTGCGGTTGCCGTTCCGGCGGTGCTGAGTTCAGGATCAGTTCCCCATGCTGCCGGAGCTTGCCGCTAAGTTGGACTTGACTGCCCATGTTCGCCGCAAATTGTGCTCTCAGTTCTTTGTGAAACGCACAGGGCACCGTATGACGCCGGCGTTTCTACTTTTGAACATGGCAGAAAATTTGCCAGATTCAGAATTGACAGCAAATCAGCAAACTATGAATATGGATATGTCGCAAAATTGGGTACCCCAAAATCCCATTGTGCAAACATGCTTAAAACATCAGGTTCCACATGAAAATCAAACACGATTTTGGGTATCCACCATTTTGAGACCAGCTCAGTTTCCATGACCAAATGGATGTCAGTCGCATCCTCAAAGGTCTCGTAATAGCGCACTGTGTTGGGATGATCCGACAACTTTAGGAAGGCCACCTTCAGCTGCAACACGGGTATGGCTTGGTTGATCACTGGGTTGAACCGTTGATCATTGGTTGAAGTCCCAAGCAATTTGCGAAACTGAGCATGGTGAAACTAAGGTTCAACAATGCTAAACGATAGGAAAACACCGGTGAACTGTGGTGAACTGAGTGATGACCATCACTGACCATCACCATCACTGACCTCGAGTTGCAAAGCTTCTTCGTCTCCCAGCTTCGACTTGGAGATGGTCTTAATGGCCACCACCTCCCCGGTACGTCGGTGCCGTGCTCGTGACACCTTGCCGAAACCTCCTTCCCCCACGACCTCAGGGCGGTCGCTGAAAACGGCTTGGGCCCCGATCCTCACATATCCTGGCCATACCTAAGCTGACGGATTTTGATTTCCTATAGCCCATTGTACGCTGAAAACCCACTTGGAACTGACCGTTCAGCTCCAAAGTCGCTCAGTGCCATGGTCACCCGGCGATTTCTATAGATTTTGCCATGATTTGCCATGATTTGTTTCATGTTTGGCCTGTTTGCCCGCCTCTTCAAAGTCATAGAGCTCTCGGATGGAATCCTTCACAACTTCGATGTCTCGAACCCGTTCGTGGCGACGCCATGCGATGAAGCTGCCACGCACGAAGCCACCCGTCTTGGGTCCTGGCAGGTAGCGCTTGAAGGCGCCGTCGTCGCGGTGCTCGATCTCCGTCAGGGTCCGGCAGAGTCGGTACGCAGTGGCGTGGTACGTGCCGGGAAAACGACAGACATTGCTGCGGTTAGTGCGCCATGGCACGGGTAGTTTTCTGCGCATGGTCAAAAGAGGCTGCAGCGGGATCAAATTTGATGAGATGAAGACACCAATACCCGTTCAAAATCCTTCAAAACAGCTGAGAAACTACACATGTTTCGGGGTGGAAGGTAGACATCATGTGCCTTGGACATAAATGAGGTCCCAGTCGGGATTCAGGGGGTCGCCAAATGAGTAGCCCTATCCAAAACCTGACTCGAAATCCAAAGGAACCGTGAAACTTCGCTAGGCCGCTAGTTCATCATGGTTTGATAGCAAGCAAAAACCAGGAGGCCCCTCCATGACTGTGGACGCACCTATCTCAAGGGTTCTCAGACGGAAGTCTGAAAACCAACATGTCCCATGGTGGTGACTTTGCCTATGCCAAATCATCAAAGTCTGAACACCAAATCCAACCCACAAGGTTTACTCTTTGCTGTCCCATGCACAAGTTTCAACCCCACGTGCACGCCTTCTGCACGACATACATAAAGTAGAACAGGAAGCCTTAGTGGCTCATGCAGAATCAGCAGGGCAGTACACTGATGTAACCAGGCATTCGGAATTTCGTTGCTATTTTCATGGTTAAAATCAGTTGTATCCATACAGCACTCCTATGAGCCTTCAAGCGTTAGCAAAGCAAAATCCAGCAGTTTGGTAGCCATATCACTTTTTGGCAACCGCTTTCACTGGCCAACATTACCGCATCATCTGAACAACCACTCCTGTCGTAGCATCAAAAGCCCTTGTTTCGCATGCTTTGAGCCAATCATTTCAATATCCAGGCACTTGTTTCCCCATACTTTAGCCTCTGGTAAACTAACATAACTATGGAAAATCACCATTTTTAATAGAAAAACTCACTATTTCTATGGCCATGTTCAATAGTTTTTTGTATGTTTACGAGAGGGTATCTGGATGATTATCCCACCACAACGTCACTGAATTTTGTTGGTGGTTCACCCATGAGACTTTGGTGCCGAATGAATCCATGACAGGAAGCTGACCACCACCACAGTGATCAAAATCAAAACCTGCGCTGCCTCAATGATCTTTCCCTCGAAAACACCGATGTCCTGCCGAAAAAAAAATAAGCTTCGGTGGTATCCCCAACAGCCGCAACGTTTTATTGTTACAAATCTTTCTGAAGCGTGCTGCGAAGCCAAGCGCTGGAACCTTCTCCAGAACCCTGTTGAACCTGACCTGGCTGCACCAAAGCCTCCCAGCCCAGACCTTCTCCGGGAACCTTCTCCGGAACCGGAACCCTGTTGAACCTCACCTGGCTGCACCAAAGGCTCCCAGACCTTCTCCAGAACTTTCTCCGGAACCCTGTCGAACCTGACCTGGCTCTGCACCAAAGCCTCCTGGAACCTTCTCCGGAACCTTCTCTGGAACCCTGTTGAATCTGGCCTGGCTCCATTTCCCCACCCCTCCCCATACCACCCAGTGACCGAAGGGAACGAACCAGAGGGGCAAAGGAACGGAGGTGAGAGACTGAAGGGAACGGGTGGGATGGGCGGGCGTGATGGGTGGTCCGTTCGGTTCTCTGTTCTCTCCGTTCACCACCCATCACGCTACCGCCCGCCGCTCATTCCTTACGTCATGAGCGAGACGCGTAGCGAACGAGGTGAAGAGCGAAGGTAGAGAACACCAAAGCCTCCCAGAGCTTCTCCGGAACCTTCTCCCGAACCCTGTTGAACCTGACTGGGTCTGCACCAAAGCCTTCCAGACCTTCTCCGGAGCCTTCTCCGGAGCCCTGTTGAACCTGACCTGGCTCTGGACCAAAGCCTCCCAGACCTTCTCCGGAAGCTTCGGAACCTTCTCCGGAACCTCGTTGAACCTGACCCGGCGCCTGCACCTGTGCTCACCGGAGCTATTCTGGGCTGAAAACCCCATTAGCTTACGCTGTTGGGGAAAAAAACACCTGGAAATTTTGGAATCTGCGTGCATGGATGTTTATGTTGGGGGGGTTACCGGGTTGACCGAGTTGCATTGTCAGCTTGCTAACATCCTGATCAGAGCTCATCGGCTTCTGCGACGGTCGGCGCATATTCGGTTTGTATATGCGTTGCTGTCAGTGACATGTTCGGGGGGTGGCTGAGGGGGTTGGGGGAGGTAATAATGTCTTTTGGGTTGCTTTTTGATGCCATACGCTCTTGATGCTATGCTTTAAATATTCTATAGGGAACTGTAAACCAAACCCACGGTTGATGGGTTATGCCAGGCAATGGCAATGGCCGTTTGTGCGGCAAAGCCTTTTTGAAGCAACTGGCAAAAGACCTCACGCTGACGCATTCGGTTGAAAAGGGTTGCAGCAACAAAAGGGGCCACATGAAACAGAACAGACATGAAAATGAATAAAAAACACGTTTTTAGAAAACAGATCATCCAAAATCCATCAATTTTTGAAGAAAATGTTGACGTGATTTTGAAGGGCCCAGGTCGAAATGAATTTTCACCTATAAATTAAGGTCCAATAATCCCCGACGGATGTTTATGGCTAAGCAACCATAACTGTCTGGGTTGGGTTTCTGCAGTTGATGGAATATGGGGGATATCTCAAGGCTTAAGGCAATTTTCATAGGTGAAAACTATGACCCCGGGACGTTGAGGTACCCGTCAGACAAAGCCATTTGAGAACAGGGAAAACTTTGGGAAAATCGATTCTTTCCAAGCAAAATTCGCAGTTTCCTGTGGAAAACACTGGGAGTTGGTTCACCCCAGTGACTCCCCAGACATTCAAAATGGAACCATGGAACCAAAGAGATGGTTGTATCCCACAGTAACAAGCGTCTGAAAAACCCTTTCCTTTTGGCTCCACAGGATGCTCATTCGGATGCCCAAGTTGTGAGGATGTCCCGTCCTTAAATCATAATGCTGATATATTTGATGCAATCAATTTAACATAGCTATGGTTTTCATCACTAAAACATAGGAATTCATAGCTAAATCATCCCAAAAACGGCCCAAAAATAGCCATGGCTTCTTCGCAGCCGGAGGGGATCACCGCACAAAACCATCGTCCTTTCCGCTGGCATCTTGGATCGCCTTTGCAGCTTCGCCAATCATCGTATTGACCCCAGTGTGGCTCACCACTGCTTGGCACTCGCCCACCTAGCGTTTTCAAAAGGAAAACCGGGGACAACGGGCGATTGGCTCGGTTACTGGCATTTGTGTGTACATTCTCATATATATATATGTATATATATATATATAGAGATAGATAGATAGATAGATAGATAGATAGATAGATAGATAGATATATATGTATATGTATATGTATACATAAATACATATATATATATAATATCTATACGTAGATTGGGATATATATATATATATATTATGTTACACATGTGTACATATCTATATCTACATGCAAATTCAAAATATATAGATATATACATATAGATGCATGTCGTATGTACCCACTGTTGCTGGCAAATTATCTATTATTCTTGCAAGTTTTCTCCCAGTCTTCATCGTTGACAGAGTCGATTTGCGACGCACAGACTGGGAGACTTCGTCCAAGCTTTGTGCTTCAATCCCCATGTTAGATTCAGATTTTCCTGGAGAAATCCCCCGTGGAGAAATCCCCCATGGTTTCGGAAATCCTCCAGATTTTCATGGTGAGAAACGCCAGATAATATTGCTCCAGCCATGCCAGTGGGCCCCAGTCGCCTTAAGGATAGATCCAGACCACATTTGACGACCTGAGAATTGCTTCCCATGGTCATCCTTTCGGGGAACCTTCACTGGCAGGGACTCCCCTGTCAACGCCGCCTGGCCAACAGGCCAACATGGGGATCTTTTCTGGGGATCTTTTCTGGGGATCTATAGAGGAGACTAATGGGAATACTGATTTGATAAACCAAACGTCTCGGTTGTGAAGTTTGGAGAAAATCGACTAACTTGATTAACTTGACTAGCAGAAAAATGCATAAATTGACCAACCAATTGTAGACATTTAAGCAGCAAGAAACAGGGAGACAGCCAGCAGGATGAGGAATCAGTAATTGGCAGTTCCTCCTAGAATTGGGCAAGTCCGGTCAATCCCCGAAAATGATGAGTTGGCCATTAAGAAAATTGGCAAGTCCAGAAGACCTACAGATCGAGAGAGAGAAGGGGAGAGTCACAGAGAACATAAAACCGAAAGCCAAAAAAGATCATTGACAGATGTTTGACAACGTTTTTTTTACAAATCCCTACATCAAGAATCTGGTTCCGAAAAAAAAAAAACATGACGTGCTTCTCCTAAAGATGTCCAGCAGGAAGTCACGCTCATTAATCAAATGGTGTCCTGAACCCTCGGAATGCAGTGGAAAATGTTGAGATAGTTGACATATCTTGACATCACTGCACCATTCGTCGGCCTCATCCACCTGACATGGATCGCCCTCCAACCAGTAGCAGTCTGCTGGCACGATGTCGCCGCCGCGCATGAAGAGAATGTCCCCAGGGACCACTTGAACCACCGGGATGCTGTCGAACTTGCCATTCCTGGCGTACCCGGGTGATGGAAGTGGATGTCGGCCTGTGAGGAAACCGAGGAATACCATGGAATACCCAGAAATGTTCACAGTCGTTTGCAAAGAAAGCATTGTTGGCTATCTCGAAGTGGGCTATTCCCCTGAAACAGAAGGCCATTCAATGGGAAACTCATGCGTTCTCTACGGAATGGATATTGCCATCCAAGTTTCGGACAAACAGAAATCTGCTGTTTCACGCCAAAAAGAATCTACAGGTCAACTCGGGTCATCTACAGAAAACACTGGTAGATTCTGGTAGATTCTGGTAGATTCTGGTACATAGCTCATTGTTGGCATCCCTGAACACCATGAGGGCAAATTCGAACATCTACAGGTAGAAGTATATAACATTATATAACTAGATTCCTCAGCTGGAGCACTGGGAATCCTGAAAAACACTTTTTAGTTGAGTTCCTAAACTCAATCAATCCATATCAATCCACACCTTCAAACTGCCTCTTAAACTGCCATAATCAGCTGGTCCTCTTCACCGGCATCTTCTTCTCCAGACCCGCCTTCAAAGCGTCCACCGAGGCCTGTGCGGTCTTCCTGGGAATGGAAATCTGGCCACAACTTGGCCACCTGAAATAAGGAAATAGTAAGAAACCATGGGCAAAACCATGGGCAAAATGACAATTCAAAGTCTAAGAACTGTGGGTTAAGGATGTATCATAACATAAGCCAAATAGTAACTTGGGGAGTCTCATCAGTTTCATCTTTTTGTTTTGCAATCTTGGTAGTCATCAATTGTATTAAGATATGTCTGACCAGAAACGTGGTTTTTTAAATCAATCGCGGTGGTATAAGCCCCTCACTGCTTGGCACATAGCAGGCACTGCGATCACGAGGCAAGGAGGATAGAGGTGAGGACTATGGAGAATGAAATTTTCTTTATATTTGGTGCACGCAGTGCCACAGAGAATAGACTTTTGAACCCGTGAAAACCCGTTAAACCATCTTTAACCTACAGAATTTCAAACGAATGCTGCGGTTCAAATAGAGCGTCTCTTCGAAGAATCCCAAGGTGCCATTGGTCAACAACAAGACCTGAGGTGAGGAAGGGTGAAGAAAAAAACATGGGGACGTCACTGATATCACTAAAGACTAAAGTGATGATCTGCTTCTGCCACTGGTCTGCTCCAAAATTCAAGATGTCCCAGATGGTAAGGTTTCTCTGAAAATCTGAAAATTGATGGTAAGGTTTTTCTGCTCACAGAGCGCAGACCGTCAGACCCACTTCTAGATGTCGTGTGGAGCTCCAGCCAAGGCACCATGATGATGGTGAAGTCGGGCCAATTGTGGATCAGAAAGCACAACCTCAGCGGCGCCGTGACATCACCAAGGGCGATATCTGTGCTCTCAACAAGGGCCAGGGGAAGCCAGGGAACAACGCAGCACACTCGATCATGATCTGCATGGGTCCGGTGAACTGTTTCAGGAACATCTTCCACAACGGTTCCTTTTCTTCTGGCACTTCGTTCAGGCCATACCTCGGGCTGGAGATTGGAACTTGCTGGATTTGGTTCCCAAACATGGAAAAGCTAACACCCTCAGCTCAAAATTACCGGGCCGTGAGACCATTGAAAAAAGAAAAACAACATAACCCTGTGCTATGCCACAAAATCACCGTTCCAACATCACCATCTCGCTGCTGTGTCGTCTTGCTACGATCAGGATCCTTCAACAAACCGATGAAAATCTTCCGTCTGTGCTGATTTGGGGTCTTTGAAGACTTCTTTGAAGACTTCTTTGAAGACTTCAAGATTCTCCAGATTGTCCTGAAAAGTTAGCCCCAAAATCATGTTCCCCATGAAAATGACCAAACAAATGATTTTTGGGCCCCCAGTTTCCTCAGTTCGAGGCACTTTTTCACCAACTCGGCCACCTCCACATCCGTCAAACCTTTCAAGAGGCCTGAAGTTGGGCCGAGGGAGAACTCCAAAAAATGATGATTTTATGGTCCAAAAAAAATAAAGTGCTTCAAATGTGTAAGATGTTACGTTTCTATGTTTGGGTGGTTTCTATTTTTATAGTTGGTTTCCAACGGCTTACGAGAACAAAACCACAGTGATGCTACCAAGCTCCACTTCCTGGAGTCAAAAGTCTTTTTTCACTTCAGTAACTATGGCACATATTGGAGCCCCCTTTCAAAACGTATACGTACATATTTTTTGATGATATTTCTAATACTAGCATATCATCATTATCATCAATTTCACTACTATTGTCATCATTATTATTTTTATTTTTACTATTGTTATTATCATTATCATCACTGTTATTGCTATTCTTAGTAGCATTAAATTGGCATTATTACTGTCACCCTTATTACTATAGAACAATAACCCATCAAAAGTCCTTGTTTAAATTGGTATCCATCCACCAATGATAGGTCACTTGGAAAAAAAAAATCAGTCCAACAGGATGGCCCCCTCAGCTATAAGTTGCTTCGTAAACCATTTTAACCCCCATTAACTATTAATCCCCAGTAACTATAGTTATATCTACCATAAATTAACCCCCATTAACTATTAACCCCCATTAACTATAGTTATTAAACCATACAACCCTCATTAACTATGCTTAAGCCATTTCCTTCAGGCCTTCCTTGTCGTTGTCCAATTTGGCGAGGGCAAAGGGCGGAGCAGCGATCGCTCCACCGCTCTCGCCATCCTCCAGCTTCTGATAGTCCACTGAGGCCATGGATCCTGAGCAGCTATCAGTATGTACATGTAAATTATATATATACGTATAATATATTAATTGTAGATATATATATATATAACATAATATATTGTGTTATATCTATAATATATAATATCTATATGTATATATTGTATATAGATATAACATAATATTATATATATATATATTATGGGTATGTATGCAAATAGGGGAATGGAAAACGCACTTGTGTAGTTACGTATATTTTGAACACGGTGTGCTTATGTTGTGGGGTGGGGTGGTGCGGGGGAGTAACGTTCATGTCAACTTGCACACCTGATCCTACGCTAGAGATGTGTCCCGCGAGAGATGTTCTGGGGCAGAAACGTTCATCTTTACTTGCACACCTGAAGGAAAAAACGCGTGCTCCGCACAGCATTGTCCCTGTAAAACGTAATACATGCATGAATTTTACATTGAAAATGCCCGGGAAAATTTTGGGCCACATCTTGAAACAATATCTCTATAGCGCAGTGGTGCCATAAAATTGCACAACTGCTAGCGCGGTTTCCGCCCCGCCGGGATATATATATATATATATATATGTCTGTTTGCAAGTGTGTGTATATATATATACACACATACATGTGTGTATATACACATATGCGTACATATATTTATATATCACTGTGGATATGTGTGTATCCAAACCTTATGAGTGTATACATGTCTATATATATATACAGTATATATCATGTAAAAAGCTAACAGTGAGTAGATGATGCATCCCTTCTCTGTTTTCCGCTGCCGACATGTTTCAGGCCTCACATGGTGGGGTTTTCGCAGGACGCCTTCAGAAAATGATCGAGAACCTATACATATATATATATATATAGATATATATATATTTATATATCGAACTTTGGTCCATACGTACTGGAAATGATGGAAATGGACCAATTTAGAGGGTTCATAGCAAATTGTACCGGGGATTTCTCTGTCAACACCTTTTTTGCTTTTTGAACACGCCCACCGTCGATGATGTCGTATCCAAGCATCTAATGCGGATGCAGATGAGGTCAGTCTCGCGTCGTAGCAAAAGCTGCAAGGATGGATTTCAGACCGCCACAGGAACCCCTGAAAAATGACATGTAGTAAACCCCTGTCTTATTGAAATCATCTAGAAACATCTGGTGAGTGGATCAATATCAAAGAGCGGGATAAGAGAATGAAACCACCAAGTTGTTCTAGGGATCCATAGAAGGGTATGCACAGCCTTGATAATAACGGTATATACGGTATATAAATCGACAAACCCCCAAACAATATCAAACAATCAGGTCACGACTTGTGCGACCTGCCACCGGTGTTGACTATGCCACGTAGGGCTATGGGTCACAATCCTTCTGGTAGCCGCAGGAAACCCACAGGCCCACCACGTTTCTCTCGACCTGGAGGCCAGTCATCCCTTTTTGCGGACCTTTGCCGCGAGGCCGATCTACAGCTGCCCAAAAAAACAGCCAGGAACTTGGGTGGTGCCATAACCTGTTTACACGTGTTTACCCTAGTTGGATTTTTTTCGGCCAACTGATCTATGCGCTCAACAAATTCTGCGGCACATTTTCTGCAGAGGATTGGTGTGTTTTCATTGATGCCACCCTCTGGTACTGGCAGTGAAAAATCCCCGACACTACTCAGTGTGGGAATTTTTTGAATTTCTTGTAGAAAATCGAACACCCATAAAACTCATCAAAATGATCAACTAGTAGAGGGGGATCAATGGGGATTTGGGGTTACAAATGTTGAAAAGCCATCAACGTTGCACCGTTGCACCCATACTACGTTCCTAAAACTGCATGGAAAATCGTGTTTTTCATTACAACAATGGAATAAGTTCAGGTGATGTGGCAAATATACATATGTACAATGTACGTATACATATATGGATACGTATACCTATACATATACACATACACATACATAGACATATACAGATACAAATACATATACATATCCATGTACATATACACATAGACATACATACACATATACATATACAGATAAATATACATATAAATATACATGTATGCCTGTATACATGTATACCGGTAACAGTGTATATACATAATGTATCTCTATATATATACTATGTATACAATATATTATGTATACAATCAATACAACCTATATACCGTATGCAAAGTCTTTGAACTCCTCTGACAACAGTATCCCTGAAGATAGGCACATCGGGCCCATCGAAAACACACCACTAAAAAGGCCGACTGGCGGTTGCGTCGATTCGGAGCGATGGAGAGCTCCAAAGATGGTGCAACCCCAAACGATAGAGGGCTACAGTGGCTAGTAGCGGCTAGTTGGGTCCAGGCATGCAATGCATGCAATCAAAGAAGAGAAGATGCATCAATCAGTGGAATTTCCACACAGAAAATGAACAGATTTAAGTTGTTTAGAAGGACAGTATCCGACAGTGATGGGCGAACAGTGTTAGTAACCAAATATGTCTGGTGCATCGGGAGTGGGATTGAAACTATGGATCACCTCTCCAATGCTGATTCTGTATACTGTACACGAGTGCAGATGGCCAATCAAGACAGGGAAAACCTCATGGGTCAACATATATGGGGGTCTTCAATTCAGTAACTTGCAATGGGACCCAAAGATTCTAATTATCCATGGGTATCGTTCCTGGCTCGACCACCATAATGATTGTTCTTCATTTCTCTTTGGAGTGGGTACAGCTTAATTTTTCTTTCTTCATATCCGCACCAGTATTAATTGTGTCCCTATCATATCTACCTGCTGATAGTGGCGCCCTGCTATCATTCGAACCCAATTGTTTGTGGTTGCTTACCCGTGCTTGTTGCACACTGCGCTCACGTTTCACCGAAAGACAGCCGCCGCCTGTACTGCAAAGCATGGGCTTGTGAAACAACCATAAATCCAAAAGTTAGCCACTTGGGTAGGCTTGCAACTGTAGTACTCTTTGAATCATATAAGTTCCTCTCTTGAGAAAGTGGGTTCTAGAGTCATTCCTCCCCATTGTTTTTGGTCATTTCCCGTGATTTTCAACAGCTTTCGGCATTGACCTTGCATGAGAGGTGCTATTTTGAGAGTTCGAGGCAACATTCTTTAAGAGCCAGGCATTAGAACTGCTTGAAGAAATTCGTTGGGACTTGGTGACCTCCAATGATCACTGCAACGGGGTTGCGTACCCCAAGCATCCCCATTTTTTCGGAGTTTATTGAAGTTTGCTTCATTGAATATCTGTTGAAATATCTGTTGAATCTGTAGCCGTGTTGGTTACCAAGCCTGGTTGATGGTCTTTTTCCATCACTAAATGGGCTCACTTCACCCTCATCCCTCATGCGGTCCCACACTGAACGCATGGTCCCGCAGATAACCAACCCATTCACGAACATACCATATGTACATCTGCATTCAGGTGTCCGAAGGGGGGGTCACATCATCCAGTACCATTTTAGTAATGTCAACCCTGGATTAATAAACCCCTAGGCTGGTTGATTGGGGGGGTACCATTTAAGTATTGGATTATGACTATTGGAGGAGTACCCCCCTAATTAATAAACCATGGTTTAGCAAAATCCGGGGTTGACATTATTGCAAACCCATGTTGACGACTGGGGATCCCCCTCCATTGGTCAAATCCCTGAAAAAACTGAGACTGGCCTCAACCAGACTGGAACGGATCGAGCTCATTGCCTGGGCCTTGTCTCCCAAGGCAGCACCTGGATGGGTTCCCATCAACCAACTGCAACGGCATCACCTCTATGGATGGGCAATGAATTCCATAAATATGACATACAAAGAGGACATCGCAAAGTTTTTTATCCATGCTATCCTATGCTATCCTTCTCAGTGAACCAGTATGGCTGAGCCAACTGGAAACTCGCTGCAGATCCCCAATCCACTGCGAGGATCATCCAAGGAATTCCAGCTTACTGTGGGCAACTGCTCTGTGCTTGACCCGAACATCAAAAATCTCCAGTGCCTCCAAGTTGAAACGACCAAAAATGACAAAAATAGGTGTAAAATAGGTGTATGTAGAGTTCATCACCAAAAGTGAAAGGGGATAGCTAACCATGCTAACCAGACCTCGCAATGTCTTCAACAAATATGGATGTGTGCGATTGGGTGCCAGCATCTTGATTGATGTTAGTAGGGACCTGATGGTTTTTCCAAAGCCACCCTTAGTTGAGCACAGAATCGGCCCAGAAACGGCACATCCACCTGGATCTTTCAAAACGCAATACGTTTCGTTGCTGCTTGAACCCACTAAGAAATAAGTCGATAGCGGTAGAATTGGAGATGCTAGATGACTACAGTCTTACATCCAAGTTGGGAAATAGGTGTGTTTGAAAATGGGGTATACCAAAATTGCATTTTTATACGGAAAATCATGATAAGCTACGGGATTTTGATGTACCCTATCTCAGATAAACCCAAATCAGCTGACCCTTGACCAACACCGCGTTTTTCACCGCGGCCTGCACTGGCGAGGCTCATGAACTGCTTCGGCAAGGGTCCCAGCCCCAAGCGCCTAGAAAGGTCCGAATCCGAAGTGAAAAGATGATACGAGGATTTGGTTTTCCCCAAACAAATTGTCAAAAGGTTGGGCAATATTAGGATATATTAGGTATATTTGACGAAAAGTTGGTTTTCCCCATCAAAAATGTTCTGATACAAGCAGCAAAAATCATGAGGAATCGTGACAATTGAAACTTTTGGGCGGGTCGTAACCTCGGGGAAAGGTGCGTGGTACCAACCCAATATGAGGATAGCACCATCCAAGTTTGGCAATGAAACGTTTTACGTTTGTGGCAACTGGAGATGAATTCTGCCATGAGCCATGACCAAATATGGATAGAATTGGGAAAAAGGGAGCTTTGACAACGGCTAACTTGCGAATGCGGCACCTGGATTCTCTGCGTGTTTGATAGTGACTCCCCTGATCAAATACAGTGATCCAGGCAAGGGATGCAGATGCTAGTCTTGTTGCCAACACTCAAAGCGTCTGCTGGTTCTTAGTCTCACAATTTGTTGACATGCAGGCGTTCTTCTGACTAGTAGTTATAGCCCCTATGTATATGTACCAGGATCCAAACACGGAATATAGAATATGATCATCCTATCATTATTGAGGATTCCTTCTGATGCTAGTAAAGCAAGAATAAACCGCCAATATTTTGACACGTTATACCACCCACCATCTTTGGAAAAGCGGGGCATGGTGTACAATTGCTTTACCAACACTGTAGATGTATAATGTATAGATGATGATTTCTAGATGATAGCCCCACATATTATATATGCTTGTTTGTTGGATGGTTATATGTTCATATATATATATACATATACATATATATATATATACATAATCCCATATATTAATGAGTTGTCATTGTCACTCGAAAACCATGGGGGTTTTTCCCATCTCCGTACCATCTGCGTACCTCAGCAGTTCGTGACTGAAGTGGCAACAATTGCACCGGAGGATGTCATAGTCATCCCCCTGCCACTCCTTCGCCATCCTCGGCTCGAAGTGGTGAGAAGTGAGAAGACGCGACTGGGGTAGTTTCTAAACCCAAAAAACTGCTTGCTTTTCAGAGGGCTGAAAAAAACATGACCTTTTATAGATGATTTCCCCATATATTCCCAGCTTTTTGAATGAGTATGTACACTACAAATGCTATAAACATCTACTGGTTGGTGGTATACCTACCCCTCTGAAAAATGATGGAGTTCGTCAGTTGGGATGATGACATTCCCAATATATGGAAAAATAAAAAATGTTCCAAACCACCAGCCGGAAAAAACTGGGGACTTCCGAAGATATTGGGATGCTTCCCCAGACTGATATAAGGATTTCAATGATGACTTGAGATATTGGGAAACTGGGGATTTTATAAGACTGGGGATTCAATCGGCAACAATTGAGATTTCCAATTCAAATCCCGAAGATATTGGGATGCTTATGGCGAGTCCTACTAGTTGGGTCATCTGGGGGAGGTGTTGCCCACTGTTTGAATAGGGAACAGGCACACCAGGATGACTCCTGCCGAAGCTGGTCATGTGTGTATGCGAACATATACACCTATCTATCTGTATGACTATGTATATATATATATACACATATATATATATACACATACAAATGTGCACAAGTATGTGTGCGATAGTTAACATCACCATTGCTTTTATTTCCCATTGAGATCGTTCTACATGGTGCTATGCTATAGCTGGCTGCACGTCCCCATTGAAACACTCCATAGCGTGAGCATCCTCCCGATGAGAGCAAGGACAGTCTGTTCCAGCAGCTGCGTGTGACCCATCGGCAAAGAGTACAGGTACGTATGGGCATCACACTCCTTCCGTGGCTGATTTTCTTTGGGAATTTATTCAATTTTGTCTGATTTTCTCCACTTGCTAAAGATGAAATATGCTGAGATCATGTCTCATTGATGGGATTTCGACCGTGGCTTTCCTGTAGATTTCCCCTATGTCCATCCTCTGATCTTGGGTCCCATATCACCAAGAGGTCGAACCAAGGCCTTCGGGGGGCAGCAGAATACGCCACTGCCCTTGTCGGCATAGCCATAGCTCCACTCCTGTCGCTTCAACGAAAACAATCCAAAGGATCCAACTTGGTCTAGGTTGAAACGTTGAAACGTTGAAACCATTTCCGAAGGCTCGATGGCTTAAGCACCAAAGCTGTGGATTTGTGCAGTCTAAACAATGGGATTTGAAGGTTCCTCGGAGGAAAAAAAAACGCAAATGTCAATCAAATCTCTTGAGCCCAACAACCCCCTGTAAACTGTATCGTGCGTCCTTGCCGTGCACTTCCACGGCCGTGTGGTAGGCTCCGGTGCGAAGGTGACTCAGAAAGCGATTCACCTGGCTTTCGGCGACGGCCATCCACATTTTGGGGGACAACTGGCGATCAAAAGGCTGGTAAATGGATGTTCATCCCCCCAAATATGGTGTTTCATCGGATTCGAATGGTTTTGACGCATATCCAATTTTGACCCAACTCTTTGACGATCGACTATGACTTTATATAGCTTCATTCATTCCCAATTAACCACTGCAACTCTAGGGACCAATAAATTTGGATGAATACCTAACAGGAATCATATGAGCCACTAGAAATTCTAGGAATCGTGACAGTTTGTGGATCAATGACAACGCAGGAAAACGCGTCGCTTGCCACCAGGTTAGTGCGGTGCCTGGCTCTTCAATTTTCACATGAAGCTCATATTGGAATATAAGCCACAAAAATCACCCACGGGGTCCCCAAATGAGATCACAATAGATGCCAGATCCAGTTCCAGCCGGTTTTCCCGATTCCATCATGTGCTTATCACCGAAGGGAACAATCACCCAACCATCCGCCATCACCACCATCCGCCAAAAAAACAGGCGACTCACCTTGCACACGGTCTGACTGCCAGAGACGCTATAAACATGAAGCGTCACGGGGGCACCAGAGCTGCTACCTGAGAATTGTTTCTGGCAGCCCATCTGAAAAGATGGCACATTGAAATGGGGAGATCAGTGGGGACTTCACCAACAAATAATATTGGGAGGTTTCAAACCTCATGTTCCTCCATTGAAATATCAAAATTCGACATTTCAGACATTTCAACACTAACAGAGTCACTAACACTTCAACTCCATTTACTCCATGAAGAACAAAGAATCCACCAACAAAGGGACTCAACGCACTGCACCACGCTTTCCCCGGCCTCGAGGCTTTTGCCCCGCGCGAGCGCTCTCCAGAGTCTCTGGCTCCGAAAGAACCCGCGAGGGGAGCAGCAAGGCATAACCCCGCGAGGCCGCCATCTGATGCCATGCGATGAAAAAACTGCTATGAATGGGATGCCATAGGATATGGATCATTTAACAGTGAACATTGCCCAAATTGTGCTTAATGGATGTGTCCCCACAAGTATGTACATCAAACGAGAAATGATGATCCATCATGGGATTAAATGGGGTGCCCTACTTTGACAAGCCTAGCTATAGTTGGCTGCAAATCAATGGCATTCAGAAATTCACTACGGTAGATTGGTTTGCGCAAATTGACTTCAGAAGATGCCAAGCCTTGATTAGGCTTGATGGATGGGAGTTCGGTAGCCTTGTAAGGAATCTCATCCATTCGTCCATGGCAACCCTTACACACCAGAGAAAAGATCTTAAGTCATTGAAAATTCATCACCAGCACTTGATGGTGGGTGCAACTGCCGACCATGACTGTCCACTACCCCCCTGTCCTTTGAGCCATTCGTATCTACCGTATCTGATATAAAGCATGAAGTCTCGATGTCCAACCGTCAGAAATAAGACACTCGTCAAACGCTTGCAGGATAGGCCAGAACATGAGCACCGTCAAGATGCGGATGCGGATGAAGGGGATTTCAGCAACCGAAGTTCAGCTGAAAAGCCCCAGGAGTTGCAGCTTTCACCAACAATAAGGAGGTTTTGCCAACAAAGACTTATCGCGTGGCATACCCAATAAATATGGGATGATTCATCTGATTAAGCAAATGGACTCCCATTTATCCCAATGTGGTTGATAGATAGGGACCCTATACTTGGGGATCCTGCATTACAAGATGTCACCACCAGACACCTGCTGTCACGTCACCTGTTTCTAAATACCTGTACCCACAATCACACAAATGTGTATACATGGTGCGTATATAATATATACACATGTGTGTAATTAATATTATATATATATGTATGTATGTATGTATGGATGGATGGATGGATGGATGGATGCATGGATGCATGGATGCATGGATGCATGGATGGATGGATGGATGTATGTATGTATGTATCTATGTATCTATGTATCTATGTATCTATGTATCTATGTATGTATGTATATATATATGTATGGATATATATGTATGGATATATATGTATGGATATATATATATATATATACATGTATGTATGTATATATATGTATGTATATATATATGTTGTATGTATATATATATGTATGTATATATGTTGTATGTATATATGTATGTATATATGTATGTATATATGTATGTATATGTATATATATATATGTATATATATGTATATATATGTATGTATATATATGTATGTATATATGTATGTATGTATGTATGTATGTAAGTAAGTAAGTAAGTAAGTAAGTAAGTAAGTAAGTAAGTAAGTAAGTATGTAAGGAAGTAAGTAAGTAAAGTAAGTAAGTAAGTTAAGTATGTATGTAAGTAAGTAAGTAAGTAAGTAAGTAAGTAAGTAAGTAAGTAAGTAAGTATGTATGTATGTATGTATGTATTTGTATGTATATATATTGTGACACATCTTAGTCTAGCTGCGTAGTAGTGTTAGTTCTGCCACGGTTTTCACACATGTTTCACATGCATGTTGTATAGTTGTTTCACTAACTTGTTTTGGCTCAAGCTTAACTAGCTTGATTGGCACGTAGTAGCGAACGCTGCTCACGACCGCAATCCTCGTGAGGGGGGAAAAGCAGCTGCGCCGGTTCTGTGTTCTGTACTGGCGTTCCTCACAATTGGGGGCTGTTCTGGGAAACTTCGATCTTTGAGAGATCGGCTGCGGTCGTTGGGAGCGTTTCGCCCCACGACGCGCCGTGTTGGGCTGATCCGCGGGCTGTGCTCGTGGTTCACGGCACGGCCGCGGAATGAGTTCGCAAGTTGTTGGAGAACCTGAAGGGACTACGTTGATAGAAGCTATCGACGCTGGCAGGGTCGAGACGCCAGGAGAGTTGAGCTTTCCTCAGTGGCAGAGATGGCGTAAGGGTCCGGGCAAGAGGCCGACAGTCAGGCGAGATGGCCGGGGACTGTCAACCAAGGGGGAGGTAGACCTTTGGCGTGCCGTCATGGTCCACCTCTACGGCGCTGGCAAGGCCGAAGCGTTGCCGGAGGAAGACGAGGAAGAGGAGCAGGAACTGGTTCCGGCTTACTCGCCCTCGGTCGCGGCTACGCCTGCATCTCCGGGATCTGTCCGATCCGAAGCAGGTGGTGGCGACAACAGCCCGAGGCCACCCTCAGTAGGATCTGTGGGCGCCAGTGTCTCAAGCCTGAAAGGTTGTTTGGATGCTCTCTATGATCCTTCGGCCGAGGAGTTCGGAGCGTACTTGGCGCGGATAGGCCGTGTCATTAACGCCTTGCGAAGCTTGGATGCTTCAGTTCCTCCTGGAATGCTGAAGAAAACGACCCGAAAAGCTGAACTGATGATCGAGCTGTACGCGGAGTTCGGCGGACCGGACAAAGTGAAGGGAGTTCGGTACCTGAGGGACAAGTTCATGGCGACCGTGGAAGATGAGACGCTGGACGACAGTGATCGGGAGCTCTCCATCATCGCTCTTGGAGAAGTGATCGAGAAGCTTGGAGGGAAAATGAGCTCCAGTCCTGTGAAGTGTTCAGCACTCCATCGGAAGAAGGAAGAATGGACGGAGTAGCGGCCGCCCGCGGTCCAGTCAACGGACGCGGCGTCGGAAGTTCCGAAGTCCCGAGTAAGAACCCGGACAAGGAAGGGGACTCTCCACTTCGCGCTCGTCTAGCGGCCTTGGAAATGGAGCTGGAAGCGCTGAAACGAGATAAGGCGGAGTCTGAGATCGGCTCTTCGGCCGGCGGTGGTCAAGACCTGAGTCTTGCGGCCGCTTTGGAGGCGCAGACCCAAGTTCTGAAGGAAGCGCTCGCTGGGCGTGGAAAGGACTCGTCGGTCACAGCAGTGAAAACAAATCTTCACTGGCCCACTTTAGGCGACGACAGGGCTGACTCAAGGGACGTGACTCAGTTCTACGAGGAATTTGAGGACGTCTGCGCTCTGGCCAACTCTTGCAAGGGCATGAGCCACCGTGAAATGCTCTTGGCCTTGCGGGCGCGATGCCGCGGCTCCAGGTTGAAGACATATTCAAACATGTATCGGGCTGCATGGAAGGCAGGAGAAGTTCTTTCTGATCCTGGTGCAGTCTACGAAAGGATCAAGAGCAAACATCTGATGTTCAGTGAAAGCCGCGAAGAGCGTGAAATCCGTATTAATGCCGAACACGCCTCTCTGGTCAAGGGCCGGCTGACGGGCCATCAATTTGAGCCAGTGTTTGAAGCTTCGGTGGCAGAGTTAGAGGCGGTCGGGCTTGGAAAGACACCGAGAGAGTTGTTTCTGAGCTATCTGATGAAGATGCCTCCCTCTCTTCAAAAGGAAATCCGAGCGGACAAGCGCATCTGGCAGGAAGAAGATCGGCTTCGTGGCCCACAGACGTGGGAAGAAGCTCACCGAGTTGTCCTGGAGTTCGAGCAACGCGAAGCGACGAACAGGGCTACAGCCAATGCGGTGTATGCTGCGTCGTCGTCAGAGCTCTCTGAGACGACGCCGAACCAGCCAAAGGCTAAGGCGAAGCCTAAGCCAACTCCAGTTGCGGTCACCGCTGGAGATCCAAGGAAAGAGAGGCTCTGTTGGAATTTCAGAGATTACGGTTCTTGCAGCAAGGGTAAAGACTGTCCATTTTCCCACGACAAGGATCTGAGGAAGAAGGCTCTGGAAAGTAAAGGTAAAGGGAAGTCAGGGCAGTCCGGAGGACAGGAGTCTTACCCAGCGAAAGGCCAAGGGAAATCTAAGGGCAAAGGAAAAGGAAAGGGAGGCAAGGGTTCGCCTGCGCCGGAGCAGCAGCCGAAGCCGAAGGAAAAGAGCGATCGGCCGTGTCCGTTCTTCGCTAAGAACGGGGCGTGCAAGAAGGGCGACGCCTGCGATATGTCCCACTCCTTGCCCACAGCGCCTGCTGTTGGCCAATCGGGGAACAGTAGCGGGTCGGTCCTGGGCTGGAACTCAGGTCCAAGTGGAGCAGGTCTCACCAACCCGTTCGCTGCCTTCACTGTCGTAGCAGTGAAGCCAGGCGAGGATTCTCCAGGGTCAGCGGTTGCTGCTGCAGTTTTCGCGGCAGGAACGCGATCCGTCGGAGAAGATGGCGGAGCCAGCAAAGCGCTGACCTCTTTGGACGAGATCCTAAAGGCATGGTGGAAAGTCGTTGAGAATGAGCGGGGCGGGTATCAGTACAAAACGGTGACAAAGGTCTTAGACAAGAGAGTGGAGACGTTGCTCGACGGAGGAGCAGGGTCGAACCACGTCACCGAGGAACTTGTAGTGAGCATCCTGAACCGAGCTGCTGCCCTAGGGTTGAAGCCTGATGATTCCCGTTTCCCCATTATTCAGTTCGAACAATGGGTCTATCCAGAGTACGTGCATGGGATCGCGAGCGGATCACCGGTTCCGTTGAAGGGATCGGTCGTGCTTCGTGTTCGGTTGCAAGAAGGCAACAGCGTCGAGAAGTCCGTGGACGGCCACGAACTTTTTGTTCGTTGTAAAATAGCAGCCAAAGGAACAAGTGACTGGCACGGACTGATTCTCGGCGGGCGTGCTCTCGATTGCGAGGCGCGCCGCGGTCTCGGTTTCCGCCCAGGTCCTCAGTCGCACATCTTGGACACTTTGGGAGTGAGGATCCCCCGGTGCGAAGACTCTTCTGTCGAAAGGAAGGACCGAGCATACGTGCTGCAGTCGGTTATCTCTGCTTTTGATGCGACGCTCCAGGATGCAGACGAGCCTGGAAGCGGTCGCAGGGCTCCAGTGGTGTTTGCCGGCGATGAAGAAGTTCAACTTCTGCCCGGCGAGGGCGCTCTGGTTCCGGTTTGTGTGGAAGAAGATTTCCTTTGTGACGCGTCTCAGTGTCAAGCCGTCCTCCCAATCGAAGGAAGAATTGAAGTCGTTCCTGGTCTCTGGGATACAGGAAGCCGAAAAGGCATGGTTTTGGTCACGCCTAGGCAGGAAGAAATCGTCCTTGAGAAAGGGGACCCTGTGGGGGAAC